CCCTCTGCCATCTTTCTCAATTTTGTCCTAGATCTCTTCCTATTTCTTCCTCCAACTCCTCCATTGCCTCCTCCTCTCACTTCCTGTTCTATCTTTTCTTTCTCCAGCTCCTCTTCCTCTTCCATCTTCTCCTTCTCTCCTGTTTCCTTCTCCTCCTCATATCTCTTGTTCTTCCCCTATCTCCATCCCGACCTCCTCCACCCCATTCTCACCATCTCTTCCTACGGTTTCCTCTATCTTTTCTGTACCTCCTTTTCCATATCCTCTTTTACCTTCATCTCCTACTGCTCCTTCACCTCCATCTTCTATGTCTCCTTCCTCCCTTCCATCTCCTTTTCCTCATTCACCCCTTTCTCCTCTAACTCTTCTTCATCCGTCTCCTTCTCCTCCCTCTTCTCTAACTCCACAATCTTCTCACTCCTGTCCATCTCCATCTCCCTTTATGTTTTCACCTCCATCTTTTCAGTATCCTCCTGTATGTCTTTCTTCCCATCATCTCCTCTCCAGTCTCCTCCATCTTTTCCTCTTTCATCTCATTGCCCTGCTCCTCCAACACACCTCCTTTTCCTACATCACTTTCTTCATCTACACCTCTGCCTCATCTGTTTATTCATCTCCTTCTACTCTGTCTTACCTCCCATTTACTCATGCCAGCTCTCTATTCTTACTCCTTTGTATCTTCCCTATCCTGCTTCTCTTCCATCCCCTCCTCTTCTGCCTTCCTTTCCTGCCTCCTCTCTTTCATATCCTACCTCTCTACCTCAACCCCTGCCCTTTCCTTCTTTATCTTCACCTCACTCATCTCTTCTACCTTTCCCTTGCTTCACCTCTTCCTCTTCCATCTTCTTTATCTTCTCCTTCTACCTTCTTCCTCCTTTATCTCATCTTTTTCCTACTCTTGTTGTCTCCTCCTGCTGCTCTATCTTCTCCTTTATCTTGTCATTCTCTCCACCCTCAACTATCTTACTTTTCTCTCCATCTTCTATTTTTCCTGCCACTCTTCCTCTTCCATCTCTTCCTCCTCTGTTTCCTCTCCTTTATATCCTATTCCTCCATAGCTTCCTCTTGTATCTCCTCTTTGTTCATCTCTTCCATATCTTCCCCATTCTCTATTTCCTCCTCCATATTCTCCTCCTTTATCCTTCTATCTACTTCCTGTTTCTTTTCCTCTCATTTTCTCTTCCATCTCCTCCTCTATTTTTGACTCCTCTTTCTCCTTCCCATTCTTCCACATGTACACCTCTGCCTCCTAGCCTTCTTTTCCTCCATCTTCTCCCTGCCCACCTCTTCCACTCTGTCCTCCCGGTTCCTCCTTCATGTACTGATCCCTCTTTTCTCCTTACATTCTTCCTCTTCCTTCTTTTCATCCTCGTCTTTCCTTTGCCATCTCCTTCTCCAGCTTTTTCCTCATTCTCCTCCTATGGCTCCTTCTCTCCTTTGTTGCCCTCTTTCTCTTTTTTCTTTCTCCTCCCCATCCTCTCATTCCCCCTTCTTGATATTCTTCCTTTCCTTCCTCTTCCTTTTGTTTCCTCTTTTTATTCCTCACCACCTTGCTATTTACTCTTCCTCCTTCTTGTCTTCTTCCTGTGATCTTTCACCCTTCCTTCTCCTACTTCTCTGCTGTCTTACCCCTCCGCCTTCTCATCTCACCCCTTTCTTGCATCTCCTCTCTCGCACTCTTCTCACATCTTCCTTTATCTCCATTAATCTTTCTCCAACTTCTTGTCCTGTCAGTCTCCCTTCCTCATCCTACTTGCCCTCTCCACTTTCAAATATTTCCTCTTCAGCCCATATCCTTTCTAGCTCCTTCTCTATTCATCTTCCTTTCTCTGTACCCTCTTCCTCCACTTCCCCATCCTCTCTCCTCTCCACTCTTCCTTCTTACCCTCATCTTTTTCTGCAGCTACAGTTCTCCCATCCTGTTTCTCTTGCTCTTCCTTCTCATTTTCTTCTTCCTTCCGATTCTCTCATTTCCTTCCTCCTTTTCCTTAGTCCTGTCCTCTACTCCCTCTTCCTCCTCCCCTCTCCCACTTTGTATTTTCCTGTGCTCTCACTTTTTCTTGCCCATTCACCTTCTCTCTCTTGTTTCCCCTTTATCTTTACTCTTGTATAACCCCTCAGTATCTTTTAGTATTTTTTCTTCCCTCTTTTTCTTCTTCTATCAATCCTCTCCTGCCTTCCTGCCCATCCTTTATTCTTCCTTTTTCTCTTCTCCATCATTAATTCAACTCTTCTTTCCTTTGTTCCTCAATCCTCCTCCCTGCTTCTCCTTTTCTTTGAATACTACCCATCTTCATCCCTTTTTCTCTTCATCCCCCTCTTCTACCCTATCTTTTCCTTCTATTCCTTCACATGCATCTCTGTGATCTTCTACACATCCTCTATTTTCTCTTTCCCCTTCCCCCCCTTTACCTCCTCCTCTGTCTTCCCTCATCCTTTGGTTTCTTCTACAGTGTCTCATCCAATATCTTCTGCTGTTCTTCCTTCTCTCTGGCATCTCCTATTGTTCCTGCTTGTTTCTCCTAATTATTTCTACTCCATCTCCTCTATCCTCTCCTCTTCTGCCTTCCCTCCTTTAACTGTTCTATCCCCTCCCCCTCCCCTCTATCCCTTCTACTCTATCTCCTTTATCCCCTCCTCTTTCCTTTCACCTCCATCACCTTTATAACCCCTTCTTCTCCTCTAGTCCCTCTATTCCCTCTTCTGCTTCTCTTCCTTTATCTTTTCTGTCCCTTTCACTTCTTTCTCTCATTTACCTCAACTTTCCCCCCTTTCCCTCCAATGACTCTCTTCCTAACGTCTTTCCCTCCTCTTCTCTTCCTTCATTTTTCTTATCTCTCCTCTGCTTCCTCTCCTCCAGCTCCTGATTTCTCCATTCCTGTCTCCCTCTTCTGTTCCTTCCTCTCCGTTATCATTTCTTTTCATTTGCCCTCTTCAACCTCCTCTACCCTACTATCTACTTTCTTCCTCTCCTTAATCTCATCTATACCCACTTCCTCCTTTTCCTCCTATCTCCTCTGCCCCTCTTCCCCTCCTTTATCCTTTTCCTGTTTCCTTCTCCCCCATTCCTTCTGCTTCCATCTCCTACAACCTCTTCTCCCTTCCCCTTATCGTCTCTATTTCTTTCTCTTCTTGCCTCCCCTCCTACCTCCCCTTTCTCCATTTTCCTCCTCGCTTCTGTTTACAACTCTTCTGTCCTGTTCCTCTCCTTGTGCCTCTCGTCTTCATGTTTCTTCCTTCCCATCATCTTCTCCTCTTCCACCTTTGTCCTCTTTTCTCCTCCCAACTCATTCTACACTACAACCTTCTCTTCCACCATCATCTCGCAGTCCCCTGCTTCCCTCTCTGCCCATCTTTTCCTTCACCTCCTGTCCCTCCTCACCACCACCCCCCATTTTCTACGGCACCTTCACACTTTCCTTTGCCCTTTTCCCTTTTCTATGTACTTTACACATACTCTAATTTCTATTTCTCCATCTCTCCTCTCCTTCCCCTCCTCTTCCTTCTGAGTCTTTGAGAGGGTTTCTCTGTGTAGCCCTGGCTGTCCTTGAACTTACTCTGTAAACAACGCTGGTCTGAAACTCAGAGTCCTTCCTGTCTCTGCCTCCTGAGTGCTAAGATTAAAGGCATATACCAAGTACCCTGCTCATTCTCCATCATAACTGATACTCCTGTTTCCTGCCCCATATCTTTCCTCCTCACCCACTTTTAATCCCTCCCCCGACTCTTCCTTCTCACCTGCTAGCCCAGTCCTACTCTCAGAGGATATAGGGCAGGATACCCAGGGCTTGATGTCCTCCTGGATCCCTCCCCACAGTCCAGACTTGTCTGTCTCTAGGGAATATGATCAAGAGTGCTCAATCCACTTTGCTCCCCCTTGCCTCCTCTACCTGCCCTGTCTTCCTTGCTCTTTTCTTTATCCCTACCTCCTTCTCCTCCCTAGGTTGCCCATCCCCCCTTTCTAGGCTCTCTGTCCTGTTCTTTACTGTCCTTGCCCTCATGCTCACTGTTCTTTCTGGAATCTTTCTGTCAATGTTGTCCTGTTTCCCATCATTATTCCCTTTCTTCCACCATTTTCTTTGCAGCCCAGGCTCTCCCACCAGCACTGTAACATCACCCCTTCCCCTGATGTTTCTATCCTCACTGAAACACAAAAGCTGTCTTCCTTAGCATCTCTGCTGTTTATCTTCCTAGACCATTCAAACCTTCTTGTCTCTGCTATTCAATCTCTCCTCCCCTCATATGTATTCTGATCTGTGGTGCTAAACACACACACACACCCCGCTTCCTGCTAACTCACTTTCTGGGTGTCCCTCACTGTGCTCTCCTCTGTCCCTCACACTCCTGTGGTACTTCTGGTCTTCCTGTCTCTCTTCCATGCACTGTCTCCCTATCCTTTCTTGGTGTGTGTGTGCTGTAGGACAGAGGTCAACCTTAGGTGTTACCCATTTAAAGCTTTAGTTTGTATTGTGATATGTGCATATGGTATGCTCACCTATGAGGCCATGTGTGGAGCTGAGGCATCAACATCCGGTGTCCTCTCTGTTGTTTTCCACCTTAATTTTTGAGACAAGGTCTCTCATTGAACTTGCAACCTGCTAATTTGGTGAATCTGGCCAGCCAGGAAGCCTGGGAATCCCCAGCACTGGAGATACTTACAGGCACCTGCCACTGTGCAGGCTGTAGTGTAGGTACTAGGACTCAAACTTGGATCTTCCTGCTTGCATAACAAACACTTTGCCAACAAACTTGTCTCTCATTTATTTCTCTCTTCCTGTCTCTCTTCTGTCCTCTGACCTTTGACCTCACTCCTTCCTCTTCTCAACTTCCTCTTTATTCCTTTTCTCTTCTGCACCCTCCTTCCCTCCCCCTCCTTCTTCCCCAGTTCTCAACAGCAAGGACCTCCAAGTGGGCTCCTCTCCTGCTCTCCCCAGCCCCCTGCCCTGGTGCTGTGGGGTCCTCAGGCCCTGGGAGGGAGGTGGGTCACCAGTAGCCACAAAGTCATGACAGGAGGCTGATCTCCTGAAGCATGGCTACTAAGTCTGGGTCAGGTGTGTCTGGGGCTTTGTGACACTCTCTTTTTTTTTCTGTTTGTCCTGGACACTGGCTGGAGGAATCAGGCCCATAAGCAGGAAGCAAAGGATCAACTCGGAGAGAGGGAAGAGAGCTGCCTCCAGACACAGTGGGTAAGTGGCAGAGCTGGCACAACATGTAATCCTGGGTTGGCCAGCAATGGGCTCTGAGGCTCTCGTGAGGTTGATGAAGGCTCATGAGGCTGCTCTGTCCCCCATCAGGCGCTCCACCTCCTCCAGGCATCAGCAATACAAGACCTCAGCTGATGTCAGATTTCCAGATGAAAACATCTGTACAACATCTGCAAGACACTGAAGACCAGCAGCTGCTAGACAGAGGTTTCTTAGGACTCATCTGCCTGAAGGACCAACACTGCCAGCATCAGCCACCTGTGTGTGTTTGGAAAGGAGCTAATGGGACTCTATCACCACCTGCTGGCACACTGTGGAACTGCAACCCGACTGTATTAGGCACTGCAAACTATTCCCAATAAGGAACAGTTGGGGTGAGGGGAGCTGTGGAAAATTCTGTAGAAATAAACATTTTTACACCTAACACAGTAAGGTTCACAGCAAGTGTGTGTTTGTCTGAGACGGGGTCTCATGCTGCCCAGGTTGACCTTGAACCTGATCCTCCTGCTTCCACTTCCCAGTACTGGGATTACAAGTCTGTGCCATCACCCCTGGCTTCAGCCAGATTCTATGGCCTTAAACCTCTGCGTCTCATTCACACTGAGTCACTCAGTGGTGAGTGTCTACATTCCAGGGAGTGGTCCCAGGTGGACCAGGGGATAGAACAGAAAACAGGTCTCTGATTATGCAAACATGCTCCAAAATGGAAGGTGGTACAAGCCATGGTGGGTGTTTCGGTCAGGGTTTCTATCACCGTGATGACACCCCACGACCAAAAGCAAGTTGAGGAGGAGAGGGTTTACTCAGCTTATACTTCAGCTTTGTAGCCGACCACTGAAGAAACTCACAAAGGGCAGGAACCTGGAGGCAGGAGTGATGCAGAGGGCACAGAAGGGTGCTTACTACTGTGCTCATCATGGCTTGCTGATCCTGCTGTCCTACAGAATCCAGGACCACCAGCCTAGAAACTGAACCACAGGCTAGGCCCTCTCACGTCAATCATTAACTAAGAAAATGCAGCTGGGCAGTGGTGATGCACACCTTTAATCCCCACACTTGGGAAGCAGAGGCAGGGGAATCTCTAAATTGGAGGCCAGCCTGGTTTACAGAATGAGTTCCAGGACAGCCAGGACTACAAAGAAACCCTGTCTCAAAAAATAAAATGCCGCTGGCATTTTCTCAATTGAGGTTCTCTGCTATCAGATGACTCTAGCTACGTATCAAGTTGACATAAAACTAGCCAGGACAGTGGGGGACAGCTAGAAGCCCAAGAATGCCCCCCTGTTCACGTCAAAATATTTCCCTGAGGATAGGAAGGAAGCCTTTAGAATTTCAGGAGCTACAATGGGCAGCAGAGTCACATACAATATTAAAGTAGCTAAGGACAGGTGAAGTGGCAGCCTGAGGCTAGAACCCAGGAAGAGGAAGCTTTCTGGGGAACAGAGAAGGGTATCTATGCACGGGATAAGGAATGAGGGCTAGCCCAACCCCTGAGCTACCTTCATCTTATGCCTGAGGCCCCAAACTGAGGAGGCCAGGAGAGGACCAAGGGCTGAGCAGGACCAAGGGCTGAGCAGAACCAAGTAGACAAAGGAGCTGAGGCAGTGGGATGGGGGTACGCCTGGGGCATTCATTATGGGCATCAAACGCTAGGCCAGGATGGGGTGGGCTGGGACTCTGTCCTGTGGTGCTAGAAGGCAGCAACGAGGTAAGAAACCCAAGATGGGATGGACAGTGGTAGAAGATGCCATGGGTGGGAAGGCCTGGGAGAAGGCTAGACTGAAGTCCAGGAGGAAGCGGAAGAAGTTCCAGGTGTCTTACCACAGGGCTACCTCTACAGCAGGCGGGGGGGGGGGGGGGGGGCAGAAATAGTGGGGTGGAGTCTGGTGCAGAAGCTGGACCAGTGACAGCATTTCTAAAACAATATAGAAGCCACTACACAGGGAGCTGGGTGGCAGATGAGGCTGCAGTCTGGAGGACCTAGGGACTGTCGGGGAAGCAAGGCTCCTGGAGCCACTGGTGGGAGTGTGGCTGAGGCAGAGTAGGAAGGGGCAGCCCACAGCACAAGTGGGCACACATATGTGCACATGCAAGCTCAAATCCCACTCAGCAAGTCATCTGGCCAATTGTCCTGCAGGAACACATGGTAAGAAAACAATGCAGTGCACAGGGCTCCTGCAGCACCAGCCAAGCAGACCAGAGACCCATCGATGACTGCCTGTGAACAGAGTAAGCTACAGGCTTTCACAAAACCATCCTGCAGGGACTGCTGCTGCCGTTTGTGCGGACAGCAGCTGCCGCTCACTCATGAGGCAGCAGGGAGCAGGGAGACTTGAAAGTTTTGTGTGGAGCTACTGCATCCACATCCCTGGACAGCCTGGACAGGGAGCTCTCCTGGTACCAACAAGAATTAGTTTAGCTGGGGGCCTGATGGAGTCAGCAGCTGGAACACAGCAGCACTGGCTGGAAACAGCCTGAAGAGAGGAAAAGCCACCAGGTACAGATGCTGTAGCTCCACCCACTGAGATGTGGAGACGGCTCTGCAAGTGACTGCAGGCAAGATGTGTCTGGTGCTTTCCGAAAAAAATCCCAAAACATGTATACAGCTTTCAGTTATCAAACACAAACACTTGCCATGGTCCGCATGGAAGTCAGTTAGCTGCTTGCACCACACGGACCTGTCTTGAACACAGGTCATCAGGCTTAGTGACACCTTCGCCTGCTGTGCCGTCCCAGCAGCCCCAAACATGGTTGCTGTATGAGAGAGCACATCTCCTGTACTCGTCCACCTCCCCCTCCCCTCCTGTTAGTCTGGACCTTCTGGACAGTTTCACTCCTCACCATCGCTATAAAATCTAGGAACCCCAAGTGAGAGGCACACGAGGGTCTCAGCCAGGCTTCATCCACGTACATGGTTATCTAGCCGCATCTACTTTCCTGTGAACAACGCTTCGTTCTTTATGGCTGACAACAACCATAAAGAACGTTGTGTCTCTGTTTCTCTTATCCACTTCTGTTACTGGACACAGAGGGTGGTTTCACATTCTGCAGTTATTGGTGCAGGAGCTCCTCCATGGAACTGGACTGCCAGGACTTCAGGGAAACGCCCACTGGGTGGCAGAGGCGGAACAAACCTAGCTGGCATGGAAGACCTATCACTAATTTCCTGAGACCCTTCCGTACTGACATCCACAGATGCTGGGAAGGTTTGCATTCCCACAAGCAGTGCGTAAGTGTTCAACATCATACACACCTTCACCAGCATGTGTCCTAGCTAGCTGAGGTGAGGCAGAATCTCAGTATATGCTTCTGCTGTTTGAACCCAGGGCCTCCTGGGTAACGGGCAAACACTGCCTGAGCCACACCCCAGGCCTCACTTGCCTAACAACCTATGGACATTCATCTTTACTGTCTGTCTCTCAAACTTTGAGAGCAACCTATTCATTTCATGAGCGCATTTACCCATTAAGCTGTTTTAATTTCTATTTAATTTGTTTTAGTTGTTTCTATATTCTGGATTGTTTGACAGTGTGAGAAATGGAACTCAGAACCTTTTTTACACAGAGCGGGCAAGCATCTAACCACCAGACTACACCCCAGCCCAGAGGTGGCACCTACACCCCAGCCCAGAAGGTGGCACCCAAAATTAGACTAAGGGCTCAGATGTGCACAGTGAACCTCCGAGTCAGTCTGGGTCTCTGTAGGAATCAAGAAAGAGGGCAGCACGGAGTGGACCAGGAAGTCCAGCCTCTGGTGGCTGTCATCCGCCTGCTCACCATGGAAGTTGCTGAGAGTCAACTTTCATGAATAGCAAGGGGTTAGAAACTAGCCAAACCCCTGAGACTAACACTGTGTCACACTATGGTATGTAGGGGGTCTGAGTAGCCACATCACCAAGGGACGCTGAGGACACAGAGGCTCCAGAAGGGGCATCGTGAGGAAATGTCCACTGTGAGCTGATGCTGAGATGGCGGGCCTGCCTGAGGTTCTCAGCTGCTCAACAGGTAACACAGGTGACATCTGCCTGTTCCCTGGCCACCCAACTGCCAAAGCTCACACCTGAGGATGGCTGCTGGGGAGGCCTCAGGAGGCTTTCATGGAACTGGAGCACTGTGTCATAAAACATCCCTAATGTGCTCATGTCCTAGCTGCTGATATTCTCAGAGGCTATGGACCCAGCCGGAGAAAGCCAACCTGAAGGCATGGGCCTTTACAGGTGCTGCCTGACCACTTTCCCTCAGCTTCCTGTCTATCCCGATATGAGCAGCCTCCATTACAACTGGCTTGTATGAACTAAGCAGGCCTGTCAGGCCAGCCCCACAAGGATGAGCCACAGTCTCTGAGCCCATGAGCCTACCAGCCACTCTTGAGCAGCTTCTGTCAGGCACTGCATCTCTACAACACAGATGTGACTGAAACTCCAGGCCATACTGCCAGTCGTTACTGAGGAAAACTGGCCCCACAGCCAGGTCTAAAGTGCAGAAGACAGCCTTGGCTTTGGTTTTCTTATTTGATTTGAGGCAAGAGTCTCACATAGCCCAGGCTAGCCTCAAGCTTGCTAAATCGCCAAATAATATGAACTTATGAACTTCTGATCCTCCTACCGCCACTCCCTGAGTGCTTATGATGAGTGTTTGCCACCTCACAGGTGGCTCATGCACGTGAGGCAAGCACTCTACAGAATGAACTCCATGGTTCCTTAAGACAGGGTCTTGCTATGTAGCTCAGGCTAGCCTTGAAGTCACTACTTTGTGGCTACTTCCAGGCAGCAACTGAAACTCTGGGATTCCAATTAATACCGAATGCACCAACACACGAGGTCCCAGTGCAATCCTCACGTGAGGATGAGGGATATGAACTCAGCCTGTGCAGCTGCTGTGTCAGCAAGTGCAGACGTGCCGGCCGGGCCAGGAACCAGCCTCCTCCTACAGTTCGGAAGGCGTCCTTGTTCACACAAACTTTCATCTGCCCAGGCATCCCTCTGTAACATGCCCTAAGAAAGCCATTCAAACATAAACCAGGTGACAGCAGCAGCCCGGGACTTTCTTCAAGCACAGAAGGCAGGAAGCAAGCTGAATGGTGGCTGTTTGGGGGACAGTTTAATCAAGAGCCACACAACACAGCTGAGGCAGCACCGCGACCCCCATCCCACAGCTGCACATGTGCAAGAGCACACACGGCCACACTAGCAGCTGTTGAGCAGCTAGTACAAAACTGGCTCTCAAAACCTGCACACAAGTCACTAGAGTGTGCATCCACAGAAGACAGACTAATGTGGAAGCCCACAATCCTCTCCTGGTCATGGATTCAGGCTGGGACATTCAGAGACAGAAAGGATAGTGGTAGAAGTCACCATGGTATTCTGGGACATGGTGGGGGTGGGCAGAGAACACAGCATGCCACATGGAGAGTGGCCTGGAGGCA